AAGCAAACACCTGGATGGAGAATGTCTGATCGAGGTTGTCTCAACAGAGACTGCCAAAGTGGAAAAGGTAGAGGTGGACATTCCTGTACATACCAAAGAAGTGGTAACCAAGTTTGAGTTGTTCCATATGGTGCAACCAAGAGAACTCAACAGGAAGTGGAACGAACCATAGTCAGAACCCCGGGGCAATAGCCAAATCATGGGAAAGGCAAACATATGTAAATTTATCCAGTTCTTACTAAACGTATCTGCTACCAACCCTTGAGGATAAGGTATCAAAAACCAAAGAACTGCAGTTGAGAATTCCAATGAGTCACAAAGGCATAGATCATTGGATACCTGAAGAGAGAGCATCCATTCCATCAGAATCATTCGGTTGGGTCGAGACAAGTGATTTGCTAATAAATTAATCACTCCTGGAACATGACATGCTAAAAGATTGATACGATGAGAATGAGCCCAGTAGAGAAGATCAAAGGTACAAAAACAAAGGTCTTGAGAATGTGTGTCTCCTTGACAAGAAATCTGAGATACCACGGTGAACTGACAGAAAGTATCATGACAATTTTTCCTTCAAGAGAGATAGACCTTGAACCATTGCCCAGTGTATTGCAAGGAATTTGAGAATATTGATATGAAGGGTAGACTCGTCTTCCCTCCAAATACCCTGGAACTCCTGATCTAGAAGATAAGCTCCCCATCTCTGAAGAGATGCATCTATGAAGAGATGGAGCTCAAAACAAGGTAGTGAAATGTGTACCCCAAGAGTAGTGTTGTTCTGATACAACCACCATTCACAATCTACAATGGTGCTCCTGAGTCATGAGACAGGATGATCCAAAGGATTGGAATGCATGATTGATTGGTCATGTTGTGACCACTGATGGGACTCATATGAAGTTGACCTAAGGAAAGAGAGGCTTGAGAGATGCCCACATCCCCAAAAGAAAAAGAACCATCCATGCAGTAGGAGAAGGAGACATAAATAAAAGCCTGATGGCTCTTTCAATGGCTTGATGCTCAATTGGGATTGGTTGAGCATGACTTAAGTGAGTATTGGAAAATACACTCAGATGGACAAGATATTGCATCTGTGACAGAATAGATTTCTCCAGTCTAATAAAGAAGCCCACTTTTATGGCTGCTGAAAAGAGAATCTGAAAATGTTGTTCTGCTAATTGATGAGTTGGTGTCAGAAGGAGCTAGTCATCCATATAATGATGTGTGCATTGGCCCAAGGAATGCAGGTGACGAGAAAAGACTCAAACAACTCTCCAGAAGACATTAGGTGCAAAAAATCTGAGAAACCTCCAGGAAGATTCAGATAAGCATTGATAACATCAAACTTAGACATCCAGAGCCCTAGTGCAAAGAGCCATCTCAGGTTTGAGAAAAGATTCCATTGTAAAGCGAGAAGGATCAAAAAATTGGTTGAGTCGAGACAGACTGATGATAGGATACCAACCTCCTGGCTTCTTGGATACAAAGAATAAATGGGAATAAAATCCTGGAAGAATGGGATCGACCCTCTCTACTGCCCTTTTGACTAACAACTCTCTGATGGTCTGGGAACAAAGATCCACTAGCCATGGAAAAACATGGTGAAAGGTAACAGGTTGTGCAGATAATGTAAATTAAATGACCAAACCTGAAGCCAGAACATGACATACCTATAGTACCCATAGATCCTTGGTGAAAGAACTCCGAATGTCCAGAAAGTGAGGTAATTGTGCTCCCACTGTTCCCCTGCCCACAGAATAGTCACCGATGCCATTAGTCCGCCTGAGCCAAAGATCCCCGAAAATACGGATATACTCTATTATGTGAACCAACAGACCTGAGAACCAAAGGAAGAGGTCGGGAAACACTACGGGCCAACACTACCAATTAATGCCAGAAGGACAAGAAGCCAACAATGATAAAGAAGAATGTAAATGAGCTGTAAAAATTATTGATTCTAACGTCTCAGAAACCTCAGAAAAATGTTTCCACCAAAAAAATGTTAACAACAAACAGCCAGGAAACCAAGGAAGGAACTGAAGAAGACAAGCTAATTGAGGAAGATATCAGCAAAATCCCCAACTCATCCTCAAATTGATGAAGGGAATGGTGAAAAGCTTCAGACAAAAGTTAGATTGAACATAAATACCTCAGGACAGTCGTGAGAGTAAGAAGAATCTGAGAAAACTGTGAACTGTTTAAAGTGATCACAGATTCCAATCTAAATCCCCACAGATCCAAAAGGGGTCCATCCATTGAGAATTTAAATATACCTCCTCCTGGCGGTAATAAGCCAAAGTATGTTTTTCCAATAAACTTGAGGGACAAGGCATAGCTATGTTATTGCAAAACTGAGCAGCAAATCTTCCAGCATGATCAGCAATATTAAGAGAAGGAGAAAAACACATGTTAACACTTGCCATCCTTTCTGCCAACAAAGGAGTAAAGTCAAATGCAATGGGAAAGACCTTGCAAACCTGAGTAATCAAATGAAGAAAAGGGGCAGGAAGTAGCTGATCAATATGATCCTCTGTCAAGGCCAGCCTTGTAGAAAAAGGAGCCAGAAAAAAACGAGTATAAATTTTCCCTAACTTGTCTTGGATCATTTGCAAAAGCCACCTCAGAACTCTCAGTCTGCATATATGTCTCCATGTAGCAACCGATCATATCATGGACAGCTTTGACTGAGAGTGACCCCTCCCCTGGCTGTTGACAAACATCAGACAGCAGAGGTGGAAGAGAAGAGGTGTGGTAGGTCTCCATAGTAGAAACATTAACTCAAAGTCGTAACATAAACTGAGAATAATCACAACACTCCTGCTTATAGAAACCTGTGCCAAATTCTTTGTCCAGAAAAAGTGATTACATTATCTGAATGAGGTGCTTATGCACATTACCTAGATTGATGGTGCACTGAAGTTGGTGGAGAATTTTGCAAATTAGAATTTGCCAAGGGAAATCGAGTGGGATATAAAAGACTGGAGCAAGCACTTTCCATGCTTAGATGGGAAAAGAATGGAAACCCTGGAGATAGAGATACAGCTATAGTGTCAATGGAGGTGTGTTTTGGAATGTCATTGCCGAATACAAATGGTGGTTATAAAAGATTCTATTAAAAGAATTTTCCACTCATTCCTAAAGTTTTGCAAAAAAGGGTGGTATGTGATGGCTGCTCAACTGCGTGACTAGGGCAGTAAGTCAAGCCATACAATAAGTGGCTATTCAATAATTAAATTACTTAGAATCAAAAATGTTATTAGTAACTAGCTGCAACCTACAAAAATTTTCAGTGGTTTTTATGCTCTTCAGTTGAATTATTCCTTATTGGTTTTGAACGAACTACACATGTCATATTTTAGACCTAAATAAGTTGAGAAAGCCTGTAAAAATTGTATTTAATGTAATGTTAATTTTGTTTATGAAATTACATGTGGGTTAAGTGTTGTTTGTGGGAAATTCTTTACAAGTAAAAAAACTAAAGTTGGAATCAAAGCCAGTCATCATGTTATGACAATGGCCTTGTGCCATCGTGTAGCATACTCATTCCATTAAAAGTGTGACTAAGCAAAAAATAGCTATGGTGATTTTGAATAGAAATGCCGGAATGTAATCCAGACTCCTCAAACAAAGGCTTTTCTAAAGATATGAGATTTGTAGCACTTGATCGAGGAATTTGTGTAAAAAGTTCTGAACAGAGACAAATGCAAGTATTGTTACGACAGTGGAAGTCACATGACGTTGGTAACACATCATGAGTTTCTAGAAGGATCATGACTGTTCCTGGCAACTCTAGTGTTTGCCAGATGCCCTCTATTTTTGTATATAAGCCCGGCAAATAAAGCGGAGATATAATAGCAGATTGAAGAGAGATATAGAGACAGATAATTGAGTCAAGTGAGCGGTAGTGACCGTAAGTAAAGTGCATAAATCGTTGTGGATTATAGCGTGTGTTTAAGTTAATGTGACTGTGAAAATTAAGTGTATTGCAAAGTTGTATTGAGAAAGAATAAACTAGTTTTATTCAAAGAAAGGTCTTGTATTGCTGAAGTTTCTCGGGGAGAATTTATACCGGAAATTAACAAACGACCAGATACGTAACAGTATCCTAACTTTGAACTAGAGAGGATGCAGATAGTTAACAGCACTGATAATCAACTCTTGAGCTACTCTTGTATGACCAAATAGTGGGGTTTGATCATCACTGTTACAGCGCACTTATGACGCCAAAGTATGTATCGCGGGTTTTATAGCAACAGGCAGCATTTAACAGACAGTTTTAAACGATTAGTTCAGGAGAGAGGAAGAAATCGAAGTCGTACCTGACCCTACCAGGTCTATAAAGACCTAAAACCCGGTGCTGACCGATCGCATAATAACCACCAAATCCCTCCCGGCCGTATAATCATAAACAGTTATAAGAAGAAGAAAATGCCACGCGCCCTTTTGTTGTTGTTTCTGAGAAGCAGAGTAGTTCACATAAAAATTTATCTGTTCTTTATAATTTTCGCACGATGTGCTATTTGTGATAGACTAAGGGGAAGTTAGCTAGCCAACATCACCCACTGTCAACTCATAGGCCATTCTAATCGAATAGTGGGATTAAACCTCACTCTTATAGCGCAAGCACGGCTACAAAGAGCAGGGGGCTTTTTCTTTTTCTTTCTTTCTTTCCTTTTAGCTGTAATGGGGTACTAACCATAGAACATCAGATCCACAGTCCGGCTCATTGGATTCTGAGCCACGCTCAGCCTAATAATGTTTGTATATATTTTTATTAAAACAAAAATAGAGAGAAAGAAAAAAATCATAAAATAATTACAGAGAATGTCAATTGTTTTTCCAATAATTCCTGAATGAACTATTTATAATAATGATAAGTATGTATCTGTGTAAGTTCTTGTCAAACACCAGACTATCGCGCAAGATGTTATTCGTGTTGGAAAATAAATATGGTATATATCCCGGATGGTTGGTTTTGCTATCTGGCGGTCACATACAGATTCACAATTATTTAACAGCTGTTAAACCTAACTGTAGCTGTAGTACTACGACTACGAATAGTAGACAAGTTATGAACGTTGTGTATATAATATATTAAGTTTTTTAGTTTAATGTAACTAACATAAACAAGGAATCTATTAAAGTATTGGAAGTAAGGTGTGATCAGTATTAAAAGTTAACATCTGATTGTAGTTTTTAGCCACCATGTTTTTAATTAAAGTAATTATTAATTAAAAATGATAACCGTAACTTCTAGTTCTACATATTAATTATCAATAGTAATACTGTTATATCTACGATATATACCAGAAAGTATAATATTAATATTACTACTATGGAATCTAGATTTTAATGATCATATACACTTAGGTATTTTTATGTTTGTATATTTAAAAAATTCAATTTAAGCGTTTTATTCTACTGTTAGTATTAATATTTGAACATAAATTGGTAGAAGATGTAATCAAATACAAATACTAAATATACTACGTAGCCCATCACATGTCTGAAAATATACTACTAGTTACTACTACTAACCCAAATGTCAGGCCAAGTACTTACTGGTGTGTGAAATTGTAAGCAGAGTATTTAGCCTGATATTTGGACTACACGTGAATGTTCAAGTGTACTTAATTTTTGCTGTGAAAAAAAAATGTTGATGTATATTTATGGCCATTCTTCACTTTTGAACTGTTGAAGAAAACATACAACACTGAGTGAAATACAGCTACAGTGCAATACATCAATGAACTACAACTATAAAAGAAAGTATAGTGCAATACAATAGTGAAATATTGCTACAATGAAATACAACGTGATTCACATAGAATAGTAATTGACACAAAATATTGTTGTTTTTGATTTTTGCAAGACTTCACTGTTATGTATACAAATGTATATATCTTTATTATATAAAAATGCATACATCTGTTACATTTGTATTTTATTTTTTACATAAAGAATCTGGAAATCTGCTCATTGCTCAGAGTGGTTGCAGTTGATTGTGAAATCTTACTTATTGGCTTCACCCACTGGTTGGTAGGTGTGTCACAATAAGACTAATGTGATATTTACCACTATTGTTTACTGAATAAATCTGTTATTTTGATAATTTTGAACATTTTTCATTTGTGAATTTTTTGATTAATGGACTCTTTGTTTGAAAGGAATACATTCCTTTTAAGCTAATAAATATTTGAAAAACCAATATTTAAATATTTGACTCTTAGATAGGTCCCTCAATCTAACTCTCTTACTAATCTGTTATCATTTTTGTCTGAGATATTACTTGTTATCTGGATGATTTGGTATACTTAGATTTTCATATTGATAGGGGTTGTGGTAGGGTAGGGTGGTTGAATGGGAAAAACCAAAAGGGTGTCATTAATGGAGAACAACCAAACTGGACATTTGATATTAGTGGAGTACCTCTAGCTGTATTAAGGATGTTAAAATATTACAGAACAGCATGAATCAGTTGGTTTGTTGGACAAATATTTGATAAATAACAGTTTATCTTACAGGAATGTGTTAAGATCTTTTGATTCAGTTTCTGTTGAGAAAAGAAGGATAGGTTTGTAATTAAGCATAAAGCTACACAATGGGCTATCTGTAATCTGCCCAGGCTAGGATCCAGCTAACACAGTTTCATTTTTTTAACAAGGTGATTGGCTTATGGAACGAGTTGCTATTGACAGAAATGGAAGCTGTCACTTTACAGAAGTTTAAAAAGAGAATTGGTGGTTTTCTGAAAAGTAAAGGGTGGGTTTACATTTTAAATTATCTTGAGGATGGGTGTGCAAGGATAGTGTTGAAAGGCCAAAAGGTCCCTTGTTCATATGTTTTGATACTTCACAGTTTGTGAAAGTTAATCTCAGTTTGATTATTATGTAGAAGTACTAATGGTCGATCAAGTGCTTTTGCGCAACATTTTAAAATTTAGCCTTTTTATGAATCAAAACAAGGTTTAACAACATTATCATAAAAGGCCTTTCACATGCTGAATGATTAATCACTCCTACAAGCTTAAATTCTTCAGCCTTGTAGTGAGAGGGCAATTTTTTTTTCAAGTGAATAACAAATCTGTCTATACATAATCTTATCATTTTCAACAAAATGATTAGGAGATTTGTAAAAAATACCAGTTTAAATATCTTTCTTTTTCTTTTTTTGTCGGGGATGTAGACTCAAACACACAATGTTTACAAACTTTGGTATTACATGTTGATGTCTCATAAACATTCAACCATTTTTAAATGAAAGATATCAGACCTCCTTTTTATTCTCACAATCAATACTGATGGCTTTAAGTTTTTAAAGCCTCATTTCTAAAATGTTTTTTCTGACCAAGGCTCTAAATGTCATTGATATCTAACAGCAACTAAAATATCCTGTAAAAAATAAGCTTGTTGCTTTGTACTTTGATATAATAACTTATTAGCATTATGTCTCTACATAGCACAAGTCAAAAAGTAATTTTAAATAGACTAGTAATACCACCAGTCACTTCTTCAAATGCTCTTTCATAAAGTGCTTAAAAGGACCACATCAGAATCATCAGCTAAATGCTCTGCTTTACCTTTAAACTTTACTTACAGGTTTAGCCTACTTACCTGAATATTCTTATGTATCCTTGCTAATAATTTATTTACTATTTGTACTTGTTCAATATTTCTAGTCTGAGTAAGAACTTTTGAAAGAACTTATTGACCTCTCTCTAAAACATAAACTAACTAAGTAGTTTTTTTTTTTTACTTTTCTGATAACTCTTTTTAATCTGACAGTAACAATACAGAAAAACATTTTATGCAACATCCTTAGGAAGTAAGTAATCTTAACTAAAAAAAAACAAGTCTTGACCTGGGTTTATAAATCTTATATGCACTACTTGATATATTGAAGTTACCATTACTGATTTAATCAATTTTAAAATGCAGGTGCGTTTCTAATAACTTTGAATGTATAAACTAGTTTACGTTATAACTAGGTGTGTTTTATGAAATACTGTATGCTCATGGGGCATAACTTTTCTCTGCATTTGTTTTTCGAAAGTTTCTTATACCTCCTTTAATATGTAAATGAAAGCTGAACAGAATAGTTTAAATGAAATTAAACATTATATTATGTAAAGACAGAATAGTAACCTTCATAATATTTAAACTATTTCTTTTTTGTTGGTCTTAGAATTTTGTTTTCTATCCCACAGAGACAACTTTGAAGGTTTCATATTGTTTTTGATTTTTTTACTAATCAAAAATACATTCTTTATCTGTAAGAAGTCAGTATAGAGTTCTGTAAGAATTCATGCTAGATAGTAGGGCCTGTAACTTAAATGATAATGTGGTTATTCATTAAAGCCCTTTAAGCTGTAGAAAATTTCAAGTCAATCTAGATTATTTTTTAGTCTTTATTAGATGACTCGTACTTGTAGTTGTATTCACATCATTAGCAGTTTTTTCAGGGCTAAGTACTTGAAGATGGAAGTTTGGTGAAACACCACTCATATTACATTTGTATACATTTATAACTAAAATTGTTTCAAAAAATGCACCATGAAATCTGTTTTGAGTGAAGTATTAGAATTTACTATATTTTCTTTTCTTTTAATACTATAAAAATAACTTTGTTACTAGAAAGCTGGGTGATGCTGGAAATGCAAATTTATCAACAGCCTTGTGATGTTTCCTTGCTCTTTCTAAGAAGAAATGTTCCTACTTTGCACTTTACATCATAGTATTTAACACAAATTAAACATGTCTCTTGGAAGGTTGAAAGAAACAAACCATAAAAACAAATATATATATATATGTTTTAGGAATTCTGTTTGAAATAGGTTCTTGTAATCAAAATCATTGTCTTTTCAAGATTTTAACTTGCATGTTATTGAAAGTAGCATTTTCTAATAATACAGTAAGCTAAAATCTAAGTTTTGTGAAATTTTTATCTTATCTGCTTATTACAGGTAGATTATTCTAACTTATTTACATCAGAATACTTTTTTCTACATGTTTCAATTTTATCTTTCATTTTTGACTTTTTTTATCATGATGACTAACTTGATAAATCCTTGTAAAGTCAAGTGTTTGTAGTATTGTTTTTTTTTATCCATTTACATCATGGATTGTAAAGTTTTATCAAGAAAAGATAATGATATGAATGTTTTTAGGTTGAGATGACAGACAATCGACATAGAACCCCAATATTTCAAGGAGGAGATAACAATGAAAATTCTGATCAAAAACCTCATCCAGTCAGTGAAGGACATAAGTTTTGTGATAAAGATCACACCCAACAAATTGATAATTCTTCAACTGTTTTGGAAAAAATTGCTGGTTTATATGCTGAGCGGCTGCTCTCTGATATCACTCTTGAAGTTGGAGGAAAGAAGTTTGCAGCTCATCGTCTAATTCTCTGTGCTTCTAGTGATGTGTTTCAGGTGTGTATATGTTTTTTCAATTACAGTAGCTCACAGTGATATTCACACATGTGTATAGAATATTTAACAATGTTAATAAGCAGAACTTACATTTTGTTATTTTCAAAAATAGTCATATTTTACCACAGATAATTTTTTTTGTCATTAATAATTTTCTATTGTCATTTCATCAACATTTTAACTTTTAAATATAGTTGCAATAATTTTGACCATACTTATCCTAAAATAGTTGAATGAATGAACATCCATGTCTTTAATCATCACAGGTAAAAATATCAGACACATTAGGATGCTTATTTTGATATCTCTATATGTGTTTTCACACCTCTACAAGCCACTTTGATAAAGAAAAATATAAAGGCTTTCATATTGTGAACATAGCAGAAATTTTAAAAAAATTAGTAAATTGTTTTTGTTGCTATTTTAATTTGCAAGTTTTTTTGCTTCTCAAATTACCAAATGAAATAAATTATAAATGGCAACATTGACGATATACAAGAGCAATAACTAAATCAAGTATAATAGACAACAGTATGTTCAAATAAATGTAGAGTAGTTGGTAATAGTATATTGGTAAGTGGACACAGTAGCTAACAATGATGTTTATGAATTAAGTACAAATAAATATGGCTTATTTCAATTAAAATAGTTAATAGTGATTATCTGATATATCGATAAGATATCTGACAGTGATAATGAGTTAAATGAACACATTGATAATCCAGCAGTGTTCAAATAAATGGATACAGAGCTAACATTAATGTTAAATAAGTGAATATCATATCTAACATTAATGTTTAAGTGGATACAGCAGCTAACAGTTGTTTTCAGGCAAGTGGATGCATTAGCTGACACATATGTTCAGGGAAGTGGATACAGTAGCTAATGTGTTCAGGCAAGTGGATGCAGTAGCTAACAGGTGTGTCCAGGTAAGTGGATACAATAGCCAAGAGATGTGTTCAGGCAAATGGATGCAGAAACTAACAGATGTGTTGAGGTAAGTGGATACATCAGAAAACAGTGAAGTTCAGTAAAAAAGGATACAATAGCTAAAAGTTATGTTTAGTTAATTGGTTGCAATAGCCAACAGTGGCATTCAAGTAAGTAGGTACAACACGAAATAGGTTAAGTTGTTAGCAGAGAAGCTGCAGAAAATAAGTTCAAGATTCTTTGCTTAAAAAATTATTCTGGGATGTAAATTATATGTTTCCTTTTGGTTCCTTGTTGTAGTTTCCTTTGTGTTGCTTTGTTATCAGCCAGCCAGTAGGGTAGGAAATGTGAACTGCCCCTAGACTAATTGGCAGATTATTTTTTAATATATGTATTTTAGAGAAACTTGATTTTTCTGTTTTCATTTAGGCATAACTCTTTGTTGTTTGATGTGGTGTTTCTGTAATTTTTTATAGGATTGGTGCATATCCCTAGTATGTGTATAAAACTAGTGTATGTAAAATAGTGTGTATATGTGTAATTTAAATCACTGCAAAGTTGGAGCAGTTTGTAACTATTTATCCTTCATAGGTTTCTAAATCATTCCCTGCTTTCCTCACATTGGAATTTACAAACACATGAAGGGAAGTGTATTAACAATGAATTGTGATTGGCTACACAGAAAGGAGGCATGTTCAACAGCAATAAAGACTGAATAGAATTTACCAAAAAAAAAAGGTGGTTGGTTGAGAATTATCCTAACAAGTATGGACATTTTTTAAACACAGAAATTTATTGTTGGTTTTTGAATCTCTTCATTGATGAATTACTTATCTTGAATGGAGTTTTTTCCGTAAGATCTTAGACTTCTTCTGTATTGTATTTTACTTTAAAGTCCAAAACATTTACCATCAAGGTAATGTACATGGTGAAGGGACCTCCCAGAGAAAGTTCTGTTTACCATGTTTGGTATCCAAACATCCATCCATGTGTTTGCCGTGCTTGGCATCTTGCTAAGGAGAGGATCCAGGTGGTTGAAGGGTGTCATCTTGATGGGTCAGTTATATCAGTGTCACTTTGACCTTGAATTTATGTAGCTGGGTGGCCTTGGGGTGGCTTCCCCAGGGTCAGTTGGCTGGTCCTGTTGGGCTAGGGTCAACTAAGTGCCATTGTTGGACCTTCTGAATGGGTGTTGTGGACTTTGTGTCTGGTGCTGATGTTTGGGTATAGTGCCCACAAAATCCTGGCATAGCTACATTGTCATTGTTTGGTGTTATAGTGAGCCTCTTGTAGGGCTCTGTTGTGGGTGGGGTCAGTGGGCTCTGAATATTCTCCATTTCTTATGAATCTCTCACCCAGTAACCCCCCAAAAAACATAAAAGAAACCGCATTTATTGGAAATCAACTACTTATAGAAGACTTTTCTACAGTCACCACCTCCTATTGTGCCTATACCTCTTTTTTAATTCTTTATTCTCTGTCTGACAAATCTTTAGGGCAAATGTCTTCCTTTTTCATTCAGAAGGGATTAGAGGGCTTACTGGCTCTCTGAAGTCAGTCAAAAAGTTACATTCTGGGGATATCTTGGTGGAAACATCTACATCAAAACATAGCAAATTCCTCCTGAAATCAAAGGCTATTGGGGAGACACATATTTAGGTAACTCCCCATGCTACTTTGAATTACCCATGAGGAGTAACCACTGAGAGAGATTTAAAGAACATCACTGAGTCAGAGATCTTCGCTGGTTTCTCCAGTCAAGGAGTATCTACTGTGCATCATATCTCTACTCATAAAGATGGAATTATGCAGCCTACCAGTGTCCTTATACTGAAGTTTATATCACCATGTCCACCTGCCACTTTCAAGGCAGGTTATCTGAACTGTAAGGTATGGCCCTATATTCCTAACCCTCTCAAGTGTTTCCAGTGTCAGCATTTCATACATTCTAAGGGGTCTTGTCGTGGTTTTTTGATGTGTACTCGTTGTGGTGGCAAAGACCATGATGCTTGTGAGTGCCAGTTGGACCCTCACTGCATCAATTGTGATGGTCCCCACCTCTCATACTTTCATTCTTGCCCAAAGTGGGTAGAGAAAAAAAGAGATACAGCAATTGAGGACTGCAAACAATATTTCTTATCCAGAGGCTCAGAAGTTGTTGTCCCCTGTTTTATCTCGAACATATGCTGCTGCACTTCATTACATTGTTACAGTGGGAGTGCAGGCAGAACTTTCTGTGCCTTTAACTGAGTCTTTTGTTGTCTGTGATATTGAAGTCACAACTGCCCATGTCTTTCTTTTGTGCTGTTATTATGACTGCAGATGGCAGCACCATTTTCAACATGATTTTTCTCAAGGTTTACCCCTAACATTGGACAGTGTCATTAGCGATGGTGACACTGTCCAGATTGATTGTGTTCTTTAGCTTTTTACAGACCACTGGCTTTTTTACTTCAATTTATTTTTTTTATCTGATTTTTGGGTATTGTTTAGGTTTTAGCTTGTTTTCTTTATGCTTTTTTTTTTGTAGTATTTAACTTTGTTTTTATATTGGTTGTTTGGTGCAGATAGGATTGTTGCTTTGTACCAATAAACTCCAACCAGTTGAGGACCTGGAAATGGCAATAAGGAAAAAACATCTGCATAAATTGAGATTTAAAATTATCTATGTATGTGAGCACTACGAATATTGGAGTCTGTGAAATCAGGAAGAGAAATAGATAATAGTTATATGGGAATTTGTGGATAGCAACATTTATTTTTGTTAGAATTATTCAGAAATATGAAGTATAATAAAAAGCATGGGGCACTTTTGAAGAAAAGAAAATCATGTTATTGTAATTACATAATTATATTTATGTCTTGTAATTTTATGCAAAACATAAAAAAAGAATTTATCAAGAGTGTGAAGTAAAGATTTATTTCTAACAATATTTTTGGGTGTTTTTGCACTAAGTATTTGAAATGCATGTACTACCTTTTCATGTCTTTGACATGTATTTAGGAGACTAATAATCTTCAAATTAGTGTGTTTCACAGAAGATATTTTGGTGTGTGTGCCTGAAAGTAATCAGTTGTAATCTTAATTCACATGTATCAAGCTTTTATGTGCGTAATATATGACTTATCATTGATTTCAGGAACGTGTTCATCATATTAGATACAAGTCAAAATAACAACTTTTCCCAGGTGTTTTTAAGGAACTTACAAATTACAGAAGTTTTATGATTCTTGTTTTTTCTCATATTTTCTTTTCACTAAATCAAGGTGATGCTGATGAATCCTAACTGGACAGAGTCGCAAGAAACAAAGATTGTTCTACAAGAAGATCCTGCTTGTGTATTAGTGTTTCCAGACTTCTTGAAGTATTTGTATACAGGCAAGATTCACATTAACCACTTCCTAGTACTTCCCCTGGTCACCCTGGCTGATAAGTACAATGTCAAAGATTTAGTGAGGCTTTGTGTGGACTATATGTGTCGCCATGTTGTTTCAGCAACTAAACATAACCAGCTGGTAAATGTTTAATCTTGTCTAAAATAAATGCACTCCAATTTAGTTAAAATCAAATAAAATATATATACTTTTACAAAGTAAATAGATAGATAGTTACAAATACTATTTGCAGTTCAGTAACAATTCATATGTAATTTTTATCAAAATCATTTAATTTTTGTGCATTTTTAACAAGGGTTTATCAATACCATGGAAGAGATTTTTGAAGAACTGGAGCAAAGGAGATGAGTAATTAAAATTTCATGAAGTGTTTTTTCAGATTGTACAGAGTTTTGTCTATACAACAACTAAGGAACACAAGTGAAAAAAAAACTACAAATAATAATAATATTACTTTAAATAACTTCAGTTTTGTGGATCTTATTGAATGAAAATTCTTGCTTCTATGTATCTGGAACCTTTTGAGGCCCAGACTCTCCATTTGAGTTTTTTTTATTCTACTTAAATGACAAATGGAGGTACTCTGACAACAGTGAGCAGAATATTGTATATCAGGTAGTTGGTTTTATTCTACAACTTTCATCTTGGATCAAGGACTCTCTGCCTTATGTTTCTATAGCTTCTATTGAGTCTACCATGTTTTTATACAAATTTTACTCTCTTTTCCTACAGCCTGGATTTGTTTCTGGTTCTTCTATCATTGATGAGGATCAAATAACCCAATTTTTGTCTATCACTGCTTTGATCATTCAGGTATATGATGTTTGTTTTTCTATTTCTCTAGTTATTTCTGCTGTTTCATGGGTGAGAAGTGGTATAGCTCTGGAATAAGAGCTGCTAAACCAGGTTCAAATCCATGCAATATCCCAAAATCTTTCTTGCATTTTCAGATGTAGGTACATTATACAAGTGACAGTCAATCCTTTTATTATGGATGGTGGAGTGTAGGTACATTATACGAGTGACAGCCAGTCCTTTACTGTGGATGGTGGGTAATTGTGTGTTGCTGCCTTCCCTCTTGTGAGTAGTTCAAAATTATGGGTGAATGCATACAGCCTTAGTAGCTTTGACATAATTACTGGTACCAGTTATTGCTACGGACAATATTCCAACAACAACAAAGACAGTTTTACTGGGAAAGGATACACCTACCCGATCCCCACACTGCCTCAGTTTTTTCTTACGAATTTGCCCAGTTAACTTGATTTCTTAGTTTTGGGGATTTGATTGGTTAGGATGCCTTCCTATCTAAAGTTTGACTCCCTCATCTCTCAGGGAATGCCATTTGATGCACTTCCTTCAAGACAAAGTTTTTGTTTTGAGTTCATCATCTTGCGGCCCCTTTTTTTTGGTGTCCTCCCTCTTAACAGACCAGTTTTGGACTTACTTTGTTGGGAACCCTGGGTCACACATGGGCATTCTCTGTAGTTCATAGTTAATGCTCCAACTGTTTTCATCTTAATCTTGATAGCTTTTGCATGGAAGATGTATTACTACATCTATATGGACATTTGGTTCTTCTAGCCTCATTCTGGGAGGTATCTTCTGGTCTGACCTCCCTTCTCTTGCAGGAGTTAGCTGGTTAATCTCTCTAAGCTTGTGTTGACTCCTACTTCATACTTATTTCATTTGGGAGTCTTTCTCAACTCATTTGCTTGGTGAGCTCAGTCTTTTTTTATGTCTTTGAGGCATGAAGCTTTTGGTTTCCCAGGCTCTCATGTCTCCTTTTCTTCTTACATCAGAGAAATTTTGTTCTCTTGCCTCTCTAGAGCCCCTTCTTCTTTTGGATGTACCTAACTGATTCCTTTTCAGTGATCTCTGTCTGATCAATGGAATATATCCAGTGATTAACCAACTTTTCTCTTCACCTGTCACTGTGATGTTGGCACGATTGTTACCACGTCACCCTTGGCATCCTTTTTAATCCACCTTGCTTTAACTTGCGTATGTTTATGGATACCTCTCTTGCTGGGTGAGATACAATTCTAGACAACATCACTATTTCCATAGTTGGTTGTGCAGAGGAGCAGTTTTTCCAGATTGCCTTCTTCAAAATGTTGGCTACCATCTTCTGTCACATTTGTTACAATCCTTTTGTATAATTTCCTTTTCATTTCTTAGATCATTTGACATGGAGGTACTTGAGCTCTCTGCTTTCTTGCTATTTCCTCTTTTTAACTTATGACCACAATATCCAATTTTGAGCCTATCACATCCCAAGGGCTTTGTACTTTATAATAGATCAGCTATCTTGCCCAGATTAGTCCTTTTCTACAGAGTGGTCCCCACATCCTCTGGTGTTTCAATAGCTTTGTTCCCCCTTTGAAAGTCTTCTTGTCTTTATATATGTAACTCTCATTCATACCAATCTTTCACTCTTGGTCACCAGTCCAAGCTTCTGTGGTCCCAGTGATGGATTCTTTGTGTCTGGATTGGTCCAGTCTCTTGCAGTATGCCTATTTTCCTCTTCATCTTCCTTTCAAGGTGTTGTCTGAAGGTTCTTTGACCCCCCCCCCCAATATTAACTGGCTCAGTTGTAGATTTCCACTCTTTCATCTCCTGTGGTTCAGGAGTCTTTACTACTTTCACCTTGCAAGACCTCAGACTTTCATGTTTCACCATCACATGCCATGCCTTTTGTTTTGCATGTGGCTTTTGTGTGTACCCTTGCAAGACAGGCAGGTTTTCTTAGAAAGTAATTTATTCTTGCTGGCCATCCATCATTGTGACTTATCAGTGCAAGTGGATGATTTATCAATGCTGGTCTATACACCACTCCCTTCATTTTGTTTATCTGAATCATTAGAGACTAGAACCTCTAATTAGTTCTAAGGGCTATCACAAGTCCGCTGTCTAAACTTTTAACCTCCCTTTCCCTGCTTTATCTTTCTCTTCAGGCATAATTCTTCTCCTTGCTTAGGATATACATATATGTTGTTTGACATATACATCACTCTTATTTTGCTCTTGTACTCTTTTTTTTTTTTCTGCAGTGATAGGTTGATTTTATTCCTGACTGATCCTTTCATCCCATGACTTGGACTACCTGGGAAGGGGACCAGATGTTTTATTCAGTCAACTTCCCTTCAGTTTTATTTGTATACAACTTTTCAGACCCTTTTGTCTCCTTCTGTCCAGGCAGTACAGTGTTACCTTGCTTGCACAGCTCTATTTAGAGGCAGGCATATCATATTTTCCTGTAGTGGGATCCCTTATTTCTCAAGTTTTCTCACCTTCCACCTTGACTGGATAAGTTAAGCAACCTATTTCACTTGTCTTTTCCACCACTTTTAGACTATGTTCCTGTCATCTACCATCAAGTCCCTGGATGAAACTGTACAAGCAGGGATGTGGACGACCTCAGACAACTTTTTGTCACAATATGTACATCACATCATGGTCCCATCAGCCTCTGCATTTTGTCTCCCTCCAGATGCCATTCTCCTATCTTCCCAGAGGCTCTATAGAGTGGTGTTGTTTGACATATAAGTGAATGCACCTCTTGATAAGAAGTAGGGCAGAGGTATTAATCTGTAAGAGTAGTTCAGGTCAACTCCTACACTAAGAACTGGACAATTCCTGGTGGCTCTGACCAGCTGGATAAGTCTTGAGTTCTCCTCGGGATGCAGGTCTGGGATGATTCATCCCCAAACTGCATAGTCCTGTAAGTATTTCTCCCATACTGTGTGCCTTGATATTATCATAACCATTTTAACTTCTATGGTCTGCTGACCTCGTATGATTTAAATATAGTCCAGTTGAACTGCCTTCAGATTCTATCCATCTTTATCATACTTTATGAACAAGCAGCAATTTTTTGAAATGAATGCCGCTGTAACAGTCTAAAATAACATCCTGCTATGACCAGGGTTCGACAAAAAAACAATTTATTAAACTGTAATAACACTTGAAATAAAATTTAGCACTTATCAAAAACACAGTTAATAAACATGTGCCTGGCTAGGACTTGATACTAATGTTAATGAACAATAAAACATAAATATCAACATTAATTATTTCAATTAATGGAATCAGGAAAAAGAACCAGAAGAAGAAAAGACCTAATTCCAAATAAACAACAACAGCAACACAATATTCTAAAATCACTTTTCTATATTAATAACAATATTAAGTGATGAACAGCAATAATTCACTAACTATCTCATGACTCAGTGTACGAAGCTTATGGCAAGGTATTTATTCACTTTGTTGGGTTAGGAGAGTACATTTCATGTGATCATAAAGTTAAATACTCATTTGCTACATTAATAATATATATACATCACCAATAGGGAAGCTGGTGTCAGTTTCATAACAGATATATATTTACTCAAAATAAATGTGATTAGTTAGAAGGTGAGTTAGCATATTAATGTAACTGAAAATTCAAAGATAAACTAAGCAATAGAAGGTATAATAAATGATAAACAAAATCATAACAAAAAAAATTAATTTGCTATCTCATGCATTTTGTCACCAAGTGCTACTCCCACTATCCCCCTGCCTCATGGGTGACACATTCCATGAGTTTTATGCTTTTTGCTGTATTCTCAGGAAAGGATCATATTTTACACTACTTTCTTCATACCAGTCTCTCCATCATCTCAGTATGTGACTCTAACCATTTTTTTCTGTAGAAAGATGTATATCTATCTGAAATAAATTTTTAAGGTAAGAAAAATGTTAACTTCAGATTATGTTACTCACCTCTCCACAGAAGAAATAGCTTGAATCCTACATTGAGATGATGGAAGGACTGGTATGAAGAAAATAATGTGAAATAATGGAGAGGTGTGTAGAATAGTCTGGAATTAACATTTTTCTTACCTGAAAGTGTATTTCAGATAAATACTCATCTCTCTACAGACTCACCCACCCAACTTCCGTGCTTACGGTGTATTTCTCTTGCCTCATCAAGAATCAGCTTTTGGTTTACACAAAGTACTCAAAAGGAGTGCTGTTCAAGAGAATATGTCACCCTCTGTGTAGGGGTGAAAGTTTGGTTTACACAAACATTTATTGCAGTAGCACGAAATACTAGCTCTTTGTTCTGTGTATAGGTGAGTATATACCTGACATACATTTTCAGGTGAGGAAAATGTTATCTTTAATAAGAGATATTAAGTTAATTATAAAATGCAAAAAAATAATGTAATTGAAAATTTGATTAAAAAGTAAAATACTTTACCATATAATTTTTATGAAATTTCACTTGAATTTTATTTTTTAAATGTCTGTTTCATAAAATAAGTTTAGTTTTAAGTTCCCCCTAAATAAATACTTGGAAGATCTATAAATGACATTCTTCTTCTAGAAGTTTTGAAGGGAATTTTATGCAATCTAAATGATATAAGTTTTTAAAGAGAGAGATGAATGAATTACATTGATGATATGAATAAAAATCATTTTAGAGATTGTTCTACACATTTCTGCAATTCTGTTTTACCAAACATAACAAGAGTATGAGTCTGATCGGAACAGAAACTCATTCATGTCTCCTTCTTATAGTCTTCATATTGTCAGAAAGTAAAATTGTAGTTACTTTTAATTGGAATTGCTTCATGAAATTTTAAGTTTTATTATTTCCACTTACTGAGTTTGTTCTGTACCTTCTTGCTTGATCATTCTAGGTTTCTTGGCTTCAGTATACACTCAATTGTGGACATACAGCTGTTCACAATGCATGTAGTAATTTCATCACATGGAATTTTGAACTTGCTGCACAAATGGATGATTTTGGGTGTCTTGAAACTGATGTTCTAATTCATTTTCTCCAGAAATCTGAACTTGTGGTTAAGGATGAGCTCACATTGTTCCAGTAAATATAAGTTTTTATTTATATACTTTTATTGCAAGCTTACTTTTTAATAGCTACTTTAAAGAAAACAATATTTTGATGATTCTCACTATGAAGTAATGTTTTTTTTTTAACTTTACCATTAACCCTCTTGCTACAGGCAGGTCAAAGTTGAGCATGTCATGACTTTTTAGAGAATTACATTTGAAATTTAGTTAAACTACTTTATTATCATGGTACACAAAATAAATTTGGTATAAAAACGTACTTACTAAATCAAATTTTATTATAATTAAGTTCTTAATTTTATAAGAAAGTATGAAAAAAATTTCGGAAGCTCACCCATAGTGTAGAATTGTGACATTTGCTCTCTAGGTATCCCCTCTTCTCTAATATAATTACCACCCCTCCAAGGAGTACAGAATTTAGCATAAATTACTCATTATAATATTTTTATTACTCAGGCAAACCATAATTTTTATAGCCATCTATCTTGTTTGGTTACAGTCATAAAGTAGAAAATCAAATCCTTCTTGCCACACCATCTGTCATATCCTCTATTTCACAAATTGCCAATATTTTTCTTTGATGTTTTATACAATACTACTTATAATCAATAGAAAGCGAAAGTTTTAATCTATCAAATAACATATTATATTGTGTTGTTTTCTATACAGAGAACTGTCTATGTTACTTCCATTTCAAACCATATTCCCATGAGAAATACATTGACGAGCTTAGCTGAAATATTAACAGCTCTTATTGCATAGTTAGAAATCCAGAAAAATTATGATAGTTATAGGATGTTGTCTGCTTTTTACGTGCTATTATTCTGTGTTCTTATGTGCATTATTTAATTAAATAAACAATTATTTAGTGTTCTAATACCATTATTATAAAAAAGTAGGGTTAAGTTTCACCAAGAGTTGACAACAAAAAAGAAGACCCAGGTAAGTATTATATTTTTTGTTTTATGTGTATTCTTTATTATTATAAAAACTAACTAAATTTCAAAAACTAGAAACATATTAGGTTAGATTTAAGTAAGATAAAGAAAAATAATAATATAAAATTTTCATGAGGTATGCTTGCAAGCAGCTCTTGAGTAGTTAGGGTGTTACATAATTCGGTAGGGTAATGTGAACTACATGTTTGCTGAGTGATTTACAACTTTTATGGTGGTATTATTAGTTAGACAGGGTTCAAAGGGCAAATAAAATTTAAGTAGAAACAGGTGTGTACTGTTACTAGCTTTAAGCCATTTAGGATAAACAAGTCTAGTTACCTGTCAGAAATTGAAGTCATTCTAGAAAGAAAAAAGTAACTTAGATTTACTTCATTTTTTTTTTATTCTGATTATGAGGTCGGTCAAATTGCCCAACCCTATATATAAAGTTTTACTAAAAAACCATTTCAAATTTATTTAGAAGATTTTATAGATTATGCAAATGAAATTTCACAATTTTCAGATGAAAAAAAGTATTTTAAATCTCAACATGAAAATCACTTCGCACTCAGAGCAGTCAACACTTTGACTCAGTATATCCACAGAGAAATATTTAGTAAATGTACTTCATTAAAAGTTTTGATTTTGTGTCTCTAAAAGACTTGTAATGCTTACTGAAAGTATGCAAAAGTTTGTGAAGATACACAAAGTATATTAAAAGTTATTATTGTATGGAAACTAAAGGTCAATTTGGTGTTGAGATTTAAGTCAAATCAACCGAGCCTGTAGCAAGAGAGTTAATTGTGATTAAAATGTTCTGAATATATTCGTTATAAGATGTTTATTTAGAACATTTGACCTCATGAATGCTCATAGAACAAAATTTAGTAGCAGAATGAGAGATTTTTTGCAGTTTTTAAGAATAATACCACATACAGTTGCCTGTGTTGTGTAATTCATCATTGTTCAAGAAATATTAAAACACTGTTTCACTGGTTTTGAACAATAAATAAAAACTAGTAGTTTACATGTTTAACATTTTACACGAGTATACATTTAACTTCATTTTTGTACATATGCCTTTTTTGGAATCTTGAATAACCTCAACATACAAAATAAAAAAAAATATTTTCACTTAGATCAGCCAATTCATTAGTTATCAGATCATGGTTTTCTCCATAAATGTGAAACTTTTGTGATTGTAATTTTTTTGTAGAAAAAAAGTGAGAAAAGAATAAGCAGTTTTTTATATGTTAAGAGTTATATAATTGAAAACAGTTCTAGTTTCAATAAACTCCACGGTTATGTATCGTGGTTGGGTAATTAGGTAAAATGTGTAGTAATAATATGGTTTCATGTTTCAGATGTGTTGCCAAGTGGCTTCAATTTCAAGAACACCGATTAAAAAGCACATATAACCTAACAGAAGCTGCAGAGCACTTTGCAGACTTGGCTGTGGAGGTAATGTCACACATACGTTTCCCCATGATGACCCCTCGACATCTGGCTAGCCTTCTCATCCACTCTCTTACCAGCCGTTTTAAAGACTTTTTTTTTGAACACATGGCAGTTGCCATGTCTTTTCACTCTGGTGAGCAAGGATTACGTTTCTGGAAGGTTCTGGAGGATCCAGATGGTCACCTTTTTTTCACTCCTCGTCTCTACACCACTGAAAGATGGAGTGCATCTCTGATCATTGAAAACTATCCTCTCCTTCCAACATACAGTGTGAGGACATTAGTATTTAATACTCCTGCCAGCTTTGCAGAGTGTCAGAGTGATCATACTTATGAATGGACAGTGGACATCTACCCTAAAGGAGTCTGGTTCAAGAAGTTTTATTTAATTGTATGGCAAGGAACCCTGGAAATGCCGGAGTCAGTAGACAAAACTGTCAGACTTTCTCTTACTTCCAAGGATACAGAAGAAGTAGCTAGAGTCTCAGTAGGCATTTTGATTGGGGGAAAACAGGATGGGATGGAACATGTACGGAAGGTAGTAAAACGTAATTTTGTGTTTTCAAAGGACGAGAGAATACTAAATATAAATGATTTAATTCCATATGATGACCTCAATAACCTTAGAACTGGACGATCTCCATTTCTAGTTGGACCAAATTCTGATGTTCTGAAACTGCATATTGTCATTACACCATTATGGTCAGTATGAATTATCTGTTTGTATGTCTACTATTGACTAAACCATTGCAGAGGTATAACCAGTAATTTTTGAAAAATAAAGTGATATAAGAAGAGACATTATGTTGTTACTGCCTCTCAGTACTCTTGCCTATTGTGGTATTAATTATGCCTTGGACAGTATAACAAGAGGTTTGCTTAATTTATTGAGTAAATAGTGTAATTTAAAAAAAAAACAATTTGAATGATATTGTTAGTTGAGGACATATTTAGTGAAAATTGAATTAGAACTATTCGATGTTCACGTGACTGTTACTGTGTGTTAGAGCACACAAGGCTTGTTTTATTGTTGAAAAACATGCATATAAATGTTGTACGTTTTCTTTTCAGTATAATAAAGATTTACTGACACTTTTGTTGCACTTTATTTTATATTAATATCTTTATAGGCAGCACTAGTAACTACTAGTTAATATTACTTCAAAAATAATTTTATGTTACCACTGGCAAAATATCTTTGAAATAAACAACTTGTGGAAATAAATGAGAAGATTGTTGTTTAGTTAATAGAAAAGGCTACTGAACTATGACATTCAATACTAAATGCATTCCAGGCTGGAACTCCTGAAATGATGTGGAAAGAAGTGTGGCAGGTTTAATCTTTCCATTTAATAACTCACTTTTCAGATGTTTTACTCTGTAACTGATGTTCTTTTCCACCTTAATGATGCTTTTTCTACATCGTTGATGTCCTACGTTTCTTTGTTAATGTATTTTTGTACACCTTCATTTTTATCATCACAGCTTTTCTGTACATCTTTTATGTCCTTCTGCATTTCTTCAGACTTGTTGCTGTAATCTGTCTGTATGTCCCAAATAACTTCATCAGTCAAATTTATATTTGATTTTAGTTCTCCTTTAAACAGTATGTCTCATTCTTTTAACTCTTAAATTATTTTCATATTCTCCTGATATTTCTGCCCTCTTCTTCCTGGTCTTCTTTTAATATTCTGTTTGTTTCTTCTGATTTTCTTTTGTTATTGTTGTTCTTTAAATTCTGTCTCTATTTGTTCTTTTTTTTCCATTGTTTTATTATGTCTAACAAATTTCCTATTATTCTGTGGCTTTGTGATAATCTTGAATAAAAGTTAAATTTTAATCAAGGTTCTAATTTACTTTAACCAAAACATTGGTAACATTGTTTTAAAAGTATCTGATGAAAATTCAAAGTCCAGTCCACATGATGATAAAGCAGTGTAGTTCCCCCTTAATATTTCTACAACTTGTAAGCCTAAGTTTAGAAATGACATTCAAATGAAAATACTTCTGTAGGATACTTTTAAATATTAGTAAGAAACCTGCAGAACTTAAAGAAAAACACTGACTCTTGTATTTATAATCTAGCCTCGTTTTACAATGTTCCCCAAATGTACTAGATTTTGTAGGCCTATTCCCACAAACATAATGCACCCTTTGCTTAACACCTGAATAAAATTTTTATGTGAGTCTACAAACGAGATGACATGGATTTTGACCTGTGACCATAGAAAGAAGACCTGTGTCAGTAGGGTTTAACACACTGTTCTGTAATATACTAGAGACTGGGTGTTCCAAAGAATGACAACGTTAAAAATATATGTTGTAACAGTATCATTTTACAGGAAAGGGCACTTCATACACTGTAGAAAACTAGAAAAAATAACCTTTCAGCCTAGCTGTACAGAAAATCAGTTTAATGAAGTAATAATGATTTAAGGTCTGATAAAGTAGAAAAAGAAATGTAAATTATTGAACAATAAGACATCAGATTCCTTTGTTGTCATTGAACTTTTGTTTAATCAAAAACATAAAAAATATACTTAAAATAAATGGAAAGTAATTTGTACAATTTAAAGAACTATTTGTGTAGGTTTTGTCAAAAAGATAATTAAGAAATAGCTGATATCCACAAGTTGTAAAATTTGCTCTTCACGTTTTCATAATAAACTAACTGAACAAACTTTTATAGAAAAAAGGTTAGTTTTGTATTTACTAGTATAAATTACATGAACTCTGCTGTACGGTTCAAAGGCTCCATCATTATTAACTTCCAATCAGAGTAAGCTACCTTCTTAGAGTGAAACTAATAATTAAGCTTGTAATGAGTATAGCTAATTAAATGTACATTTCTTTTGTTCTTACTTTTAAAGACTAGAATGCATTATTTCATCATTGGGATAACCTTGCTGTTATCAATCCATGTTAGGACATCTGCCTGCAGTACCAGAGTGTGTGTGCCACATTTGGTCCTGCTAGCTTGTGATTGGAGGGTATGAACACAAGTTTAATACTTGACACCCTTGGGATCCCAAAGAGGAACACAACATTCGATGCCACATTTGGGTTCAGCAACCCTGAAAATGAACTCTTAGATACTCATCATGCTTGGGTGAACTTTAATATTTTAGCCCCTTTTAGTTTGGTCCTGCTACCTCCAAAACTGTGGGAGGAGTTCATAGACAAACAAATTCACAAATACATATTGTGAATTAGTATAGGATCCTTATGCACTACCTTACATCTTCAGCAGAAACCCAAAGCATAAGTTAATCCCTTGGAGGTTACTCACCATGGACATGTTAATTTCTTTGCTATTTATTAATTTTTGACCTATTTCATTATCAGTAAATTAAATAATATCCTCTTTAAAAATTTATCAAACTGATATTCAGAAGTTATTAGAAGATAATTATCACTAGAAAGTGGAAACTCTTCTTATTTATCCATATGTTTATATGCGTGCATTTTGACATAAAATTTATGGCATATAGTAACCTTATCTCTAACCATGTTTTTCCTGTGTATTTGCTTTAGCTATGCATTTAAAAAGAATCCCAGGGAAATCCCCAAGCTTTTTAGTGGTTATATGTTGTCTAGCTCACGTGATTATGTCACAGGACTACCTCATATCTTCAGCAGGATAAGTAGATAAATCCTGAGCTTCTCCAACATTCACTTCGGAAATTACATGTTGTTTAGTCATGATAAACTTGAATACAAAAAAGAAAAGGAGGATCAATTATGCTTTCACTTGTACAAGAGGTTTTCCTCCCCATCACCCTAGAAAATCTAAGAAATAAGTTTGAATACTTGATGGCTGTAAAGTGTGTGCTGCATGTATGTATATTGGGATGAATAAATCATGTAGCTGAAAGTAATAGACCTAAAACTTTTGTGCAAGTGAAGTTTTGAATGCTATTAAACGATAAATGTGACATCATAAAATAAATGATTCTACTATGAAAATATAACCTGTTTTAGTGACTTTGATACTACATAGAATAAACTCCAATGCGCTTCACAAAATTTCCAAGAAACATAATTATTCAACATGGGGAATACACACTGCTACTGCGGTGATGAGATTAATTTTGCGATCATTGCAATTTTCCTTTAA